GCTATAGGCGCCGAGCCGGTCTTTCCTTTTTGCTCAGGCTGTTCTTCAACTCCTGAGCTCAAGTGATCTACCCACCTTGGCCTCCCAGAGTGCTAGGATTACAGGCATGAGGCACTGAGCACGGCCTATTGAAGGGTTTTAAACAGAAGACAGTATAGTAATTGGATTTGTATTTTTTCTATAGATGCATTGTAAAGAATTGAGTTATTTAAGGGAGGAAAAACTGAAAGCAGAGAATAAAAAGCTGTTGCAGGCTTGATGCCTGTAGCTCAGTGGTTAGGGCACTGGTCACATACACCAGGGCTGGTGAGTTCGAATCCCACCCGGGCCTGCTAAACGACAATTCCAAAAAAAAAAATAATAACTGGGTGTTGTGGCAGGCCCCTGTAGTTCCAGCTACTTGGGAGGCTGAGGCAAGAGAATCCTTTAAGCCCGAGTTTAAAGTTGCTGTGAACTGTGACCCCATAGCACTCTACTGAGGGTGACATGGTAAGATTCTGTCTCAAAAAAATAAATAAATAAAAGGGTGGCATCTGTGGCTCAGTGGGTGGGGTGCCGGCCCCATATGCCAAGGGTCCAAGGGTGACGGGTTTGAACCCGGCCCCGGCCAGACTGCAATAAAAAATAGTGGGGCATTGTGGCCAGTGCCTGTAGTCCCAGCTACTCAGGAAGCTGAGGCAAGAGAATTGCCTAAGTCCAAGAGTTGGAGGTTGCTGTGAGCTGTGATGCTACAGCACTCTACCAAGGGCAACAGTATAAGACTCAGTCTCCAAAAAAAAAAGCTGTTGTAGGGACTCAAGTTAGAGGCAATCAAGACAAGGTAGTGTTGGCAGAGAAGAGAGAATGACTTTGGTAAGTATTTAGAAAGTTGGCTCAGTGCCTGTGGCTCAAGCGGCTAAGGCGCCAGCCACATACACCTAAGGTGGTGGGTTCAAATCCCCATCCTGGGCCCACCAAACAACAATGACTGCTGCAACCAAAAAATGGCTGGGCGTTGTGGCGGGTGCCTGTAGTCCCAGCTACTTGGGAGGCTGAGGCAGGAGACTCGCTTGAGCCCAGGAGTTGGATGTTGCTGTGAGCTG